ACAACAAATACATTCACCAAATTGTTTTTTCAAAAAAAAAAAAGCATTCAATAAATATGTTTTTTTTGTCCCAAAATGTCACTATTTCAGAATTTTTTTAAAAATATGTTTTTATTGACACCGATAGGAATTTAACTCTGTTGACAATCCTAGTCTAATATTATAGCGAGTTTCAATGAAATTAGTTTCCACCATGAAAGGTAGGATATAGGTTTGAGAGCTTTCTAAACTAATTAGTTGTTTGATAGTAAAGTTTGGATGCAGATTATTTAACATCCATTAAGTATGTGTGGGGACTTCCAGTTTTTTTATTTTTTTTGTGCTTTCCCTTTTGGGGTTGATTGTAATGTACCCTGTCTCATTTTGATCATCTATTACAAACCACCAGAACCTTGTCCATCGTTACTTCAGTCCAGAATTCAGCACATAAATATGTATGTAATAGAGGCCTCCAAGCCTATAAGCAATTGTAGTAGCGAGCGCGGCGGATGCCCCCGCGGTTTCGGGACTGAAAGACGAAGGTCACGCGATAACTGGAATAAAACTGAGTAGCCCGAATCAGTAGTAAAGTTTGAGGCCAGACCTGGGATTGGCCTTCCTCAATGCAAAGGCGTCGGAGAAAGTGATACGAGATTTTGGAGTGTTTAGGCTGCAAGTTTCTAGAGTTTTTGTAGAAAAAATATATGGCACCGCATGTGACCTACTTGGATAAAAAAGTGATTAAAGAATTGTATTAAAAGAAATATATTTCAAAAAAGTTTCACGAAAACCAACAACCCAAGCCGAATAAAGTTGGTGGCAGCCGTGCACAAGGTTTCTAGCTATAACAGGTGCGTGAGTTGAAGATTTGGTGAATATTTAATGGGGTAGTTCATTTTTTACTACTAGTTGATTTTGTTTTTCTTTTTGTTAGGCTTACCAGTTGATCAGTACTCTAGAATTGGTGCAAAATCCCATTATCAAAAGTTAATTAAATTTGTTTAATACTGTCATTCAATAGTTATTGAATTTTTAAAGAAGCAGGGAGTATGACAGACGATATATTACAATTTTGGGGGGTATTTTCAAAAAAATTACATTGTAACTTTCTATTTGAAAAATACTCTACATGAATCATATGAATTAGATATATTTGGATTTATATGTTGAGATATTTTTAAAATTTAATAATTTATTGGAGTATTTTTTTTTCAAATTTTTTAAAATTTTCCTCCCTCCTCCTGCATTTGATAAGCAACACCTTTAGAATCTGCAAAACACAGCATTGAATTTTTCAAATAGCATTTACAAGATTTTAAGCCACCATTACCTCCAAAGCTAGTAGATAACCTCAGATAGATAACCAGCAAATAGGTATGTTGTTGAAAATAGGAGTTGAAAAAAAAAAATAGGTATGTTGTTGGGATCCGGTTCTTCCGCTGTTGCCAGGAGAACCGGATTGTATAGTGGACGATCTGAGATTGACTCGAGCAGGAAGTCATTGGTCCGATCCCGGACTGCCCACTGTACGGACCTGCTCTCCCAACGACTGCAGGACAACCCAACCCAGCCCATGTTGCTGCTACCAAACTGTCTAAGATGTCGGAACTTCTGTTACATTGCTCTGCATACAATGAAAACATGTCGTACTAGATTTTCTAGGTTGTTTTCAGTTTATACAATGTATGGTTGCTCTAAACCTGTACAAAATTTCAATCATGGAGCATTTAATTAATTTGGTGCAGTTCAAAAAATAGTACCCCAGTGTTAGCTTTTGTTGAGCTGCCGACAATCCTGTTGTCGCTGTCTACTGTACTCTACTTGCTAATGCATAATACAGCAATATAAATAACCTATGAATGGTCTCTGAATCTTGACCACGTTGATTCATAATTCATGAACTAACCCAAGTGAGGTACTAAAAAATTGTTACACGTAAATAAAGCTTAAAAAGTACAGATTTCGTGTACCCTAAAGAAGATTCAAGTGATATTGACAAGGCGAACGCCTAATGATCATATTGAAGATATTCAGGGTTGCATTATTCCATAAGAGAAGGAGATGACTGGCAATAATGTCAAGATCACAAGTGCATGGCGTCAAACTAAAAACTCTAGGACTACTTGTATTAAATCAAGTACCAGAACTTGCTTTGTTTGGATTGGACATTTTATTAAAAAAATAAGTTTTTCATATACAATGCTATAGTAATATACAAATAAAAACAACCTCAAAAACACTAAAAATAACTTCAAAAATACCAAAAACACAAAAAAAATCTCAAAAAATATAAAAATAACCACAAAAAATAACATAAAAAATAATCTCATCTACATTAAAAGTTTTTCATATACGTTACTATAGCAAAATATTTTAAAAATACCCCCAAAAACAGCTAATCCAAACGGATTTAGCTAATCTTTTTTTATGCAAAACGATTTTCTTGATCTTATATTTGGCTTGCTTGAGAATTGGTGCTTGCCTCCCCAGTGGTTTTTTTCTTAGATGAACCACAACTGCATTAAGATTAAAATCAGAAAATTACACTGTCATTAACCAAAGGATTGTAATTTTTCAAAAAAAAAAAAAAAAAAGAAGACGTAGAAAGATCAAGATAATATGACTGAAAATCAAACCATGGACGGATCTAGAAAATTTATCTTGAGGAGGCAAATTTTAACATATAATAAAAGATATTTTAAAGTTGTTGCTGGACAAATTTCTAAAGAACATCTCTAAAGATTTTCAATTTTCTTTGGGTCTGAAATCCTATTTCTAAAACTTCTAAGAGCAAAACTTTAAATTTCTGAAGAACATCTTTTCAAAACTTCAAAAAAATTTTCTAAAATAATAAAAAAAGAAAATTTAAAAAATCAATAACAACCAGACCTTTAAGAATACGAGACTCCAAAAGCATAGGACGGTTTGACTTCTTGCTTTCAACTTTAGCATCTATCAAATCGCTATTCCCGAGGCCCAAAAGAAAAAAAATTTTCTTTTGGCCAAAAAGAAAAGAGCTAGAAATAAGTAGAAAATAGGATGGCTTGTAGGTATAGTTATTAAATTTGACCCGATAAGGAACCTAGTAAAATGATGGGATCAATGGATTACTAGTTGAATAGATGGATCACTGGTTGGATGAATAGTTTACTACAAAATAATTATAAATACAAAATATTAATTTTTTGTATGCATAAAATATATAATAAAATCTTATTAGATACTAACTATTGTACTTAGAAAAATATACAATGAACATATAAACATTAATTAGAAGACTTAATTTCATATATCATATGTTGATGCAAATAAATTGTGTAGTCAAACATAAATTAAAATTGTTTTACTTATTTTCAGAGAAAGAGCATCATTTTTTATAATTTTATTTGTTTAAGAATATAATTTTCTAACTATTCAAATATCGTGATGTGATAATAAAATTTTTAGTTTGGAATTTTAAAAGATTAATTGATTAATAACAAATAAACAAGTTCATTTAAAATTTAATTTAATTATCAAATAAAAACTAAGCAAGTGGTAAAATATTATGCATAATTAAATGGAGATCCAATGTTCAACCTTATCAACAGCATATATACATTTTGGTTCAAAAAACCAAAGATCCACAATGGTGTTAAAAAATAAAAAATGGTCCAACCAAAAACTGGAAGGGTTTCCGATTGAACCAGTGGATCAAACAAATTTGATCATGTCAACTTTTTATCTAGTCAAACTAGAGGTTCGGCCCAATATGATGAACGGTTCATCAGGTTGAATGATTGAACTGCTAGATTGTGCTGGGTTAATAAATATAGTAGTAGGAGAAGAAAATATCCCGTTTGGAAAGAAAAATGACAGGGATGGGATAATTTGGAATTTAACGTGTTAAGGTTTTTCTTTAATTGCTATTAAGTCTTCTTGCTCTGCTATTTAAATTTATTCTGTCAGACTATCACTATATAATTTAGTGGTAAATTAAGTTTTATATTTTGTACAAGTGTCAAGCACTTAAACACATAAAAAAATTCAAAGCTTTCTTATTTTGATATGACATTTAGGAATTTGATGATTTATTCGTATTTGAATCGTAAGCGGACAAAAAGGTAGATAAAGTTTGTAGTGTACAAAGAACACAATTGGTATTTACTGATAAAAGTATCAAATTTTCCATTTTTAAGTGCCCCAAATTTCTTACGAGATTTGGCAGTTAATATTCTGCTATATTCCAACTTTTACTCTCTGAGTTGACAATCAAAGATTCCACCTTGTTGATGTATGACTTATTTACCATACTGAGATGTCAAATCCATAGGTCAGATGGATTAGGGTGTTCATCCGCCTGTAATCAAGAATTCGGTAAAAAAAAAATTTCGTCCAAGTCGATATCCCATTACCGTCCAAACTTCTATTTGGAAGTTTGGATTTCGGTAATTGGGTTTCAGTCGGAGAATTGGTATTTTGGCTAAATATCCATATTTGCAGTCAAGCACATCATGTACATCCAAATTATATTGTTTGAGATATTTTTTCACTTTTAAAACCCAACCAAAATATATATGTCTATTTGTGCTCATAAGAGTCAATATAGCAAGTTTTTCACCATCAGTTAGATCTCTATAAAATTCTGCCAGTATTGAACAATTCATATACCTGAATAAATTTTTCTCTCCCTTATGTCGGCTCCGTTTGGATTGTAAGTTATTTGAGATATTTTTTAGGTTACTTTTTAAGATTGCGTAAATATGAAATAAGCGTTTGGATAGTAAGTAAATCGTGTAAATTAGCGTTTGGACAGGTGCTCATTATTGAATTTAAGCAGGTGACTTTGACTTTGAAAATTTTGACTTTGACTTCGAAAATTTTGACTTTATACTACGTTTACGCTAAACCAATTGCATACTTAATACACAAACGGTACAGATTAATTTAGAAGTTGGAAATCGAGGGCATTTCTAGTACACTCTACACATGGGAAAATAAATTGCCTGGACAATTACAATCCTTTGTAATGCGATGAACACCTAACGGCGGCGTCGCCCCCGTGCTGCGTACATTTGAGTCGCTATGTAGTCTCGTTTAGCTTTCCATTCCGCCAGCTCTGCAGGAGATACGTTTAATGCGAACGGCTGAGGTACTAGCCAGCCTATTTCTGGCTCTTCATTTAAGTGCACGTCTTCTGATTCAAACCGTTGAAAATGGGCATCTTCTGGTTGGTGCATCCTTAAAAAGTTGTGCAACGCACAACAAGCAATGACTATACTGATTTGAGTGCTCATATAGAAATTATCTACCGGACCCTTTAACCATTTGAATCTTTTCTTAAGCACACCAAATGTGCGCTCAATGACATTGCGAAGTTGCGAATGTCGAGTATTGAACAAGGCCTTTGCCGGAGATTCGGACCCCACGTTCTTATACGGGGGCATGAAACCTGGAGCATTCTTGTATGCCGCATCAACTAAGTAGTACCGGCCTAATTGACAAAGTTATTCTAATTAATAAACGCGATAAAAAATAGGAGTTGTGGTAATAAAGCATAGCACATGCTTGACTTGAAATATTGGACCCATCACTTACCAGGTTGCGGCAGTGGAAAATCGGACGGATATGCTAATGCTGACTCCAACACTCGCGCATCGTGTGCACTTCCCTCCCATCCAGCATACACATAGATGAAGCGCATGTCATGGTCACAAACTGCCAGAACATTCTGTGATTGCCACCCGTGCCGATTTGTATATGCCATTTGCTCGCCTGTCGGAGGACAAGCTGAGATGTGGGTACCATCCATCGCTCCCACGGCATCCTAATATGTGTAAAAAATATATATAATCAACTTTCTAGAATCGTCTTACTAAATCAAGCCAAAAATCACTTATGCTTTCCACATTACCTTGAACCATGGATAAAAATTAGTTGAGTTTGCAATTCGTGGATGAACTGCAGTCTGGTCACCCGGTCGTATTATTTCAGCTGCAAATAGACACAGGCCTCGGAGCACCTTTTTTATATTTCGATTAATCGTCTCGATGGATCGATCAAAAATTGTCCCCAAGACACGGTGCGTATGCTTGTGGCTGACCAACATTAAAGGTCATAGCAAGCGCCTCCTGTATGGGCACGCGCTGTTGGTAATTGTGTGGAACGTATTGTCTCTCGACAAGGATATTGGACAGCAGCAAGAAATTATCAACCGTGATACGCATGTTGTCTATTGAGCGTCTATGATGACCGTAGAGTACGCTTTCGACCCACTGCCTATCTGTGAATGACCCATCATGTTGCGGAAGTGGTTGATTATTATCCACGTGTGCAAGTGACGGATGCATTAACATTAACGAGGCACTCATAAGAAGTAAGGCCTCATCTTCCTCATCTTGCCTCATGCGGTCCGCATTGCGTCCTCTAGCACCACGGCGGTTGTTCCAGGCCATGATAATTGATATATCTGTATATATGTTTACAATGAGTTTGTTTGAATAATAGATTATTTACACAAATTTATTTACTTATATCATAAACATATTTTTTAATTATTTTTTATTTCATATACGTCACATAAAACAAATGTTGTTATGTTATTTATTTATTTTTTTCAAAGACACTCAAGCTAGAACAACACATTACAACCTGTATCCGCATGCTTAAAAGTAAAAATTATGTACCTTTATAAATCTTTCTCGAGACAGATCTATAAATGTAATTAATAATATGTATAAATGTATAATTAATATTATGTTTATTAATATAAATATATAAATGTATTACGTAAGCGTATATAAAACAACAATTCAAGTGAAACTAATTCCAGGCCGTACTATCTCAAAAAACAGATCTCACCAGGTTACTTCAAGTTGTAACACCTCAAAAAGAAGAAGCAGCCGAGGATGGGCTAAAGGCTTCTGCTGGGGTGAATAAAATATATACTAGTTGAAGAGGCAGGGAGAGATGATGAATAAAATATATATATGGTCGGATTGAAGATTGAGAAGTTTGAATGAGTTTCCACCACTGGTGGTTTTGAAGCTGGTATTTCTAAGGACGGTCAGACCCGAGAGCACACGTTGCTTGCTTTCACCCTTGGTGTGAGACAAATGATTTGCTGCTGCAACAAGGTGAGCTCCTGGGGGTGTAATATTAAACACAAATACTGCAGGCCTGTTGTTTATCTCTAACTTCTCTTCAATCTTTTTTGTTGCCTAGATGGATGCCATAGTCAGTACTCCAAGGCACGTTATGATGAAATTGTGAAGGAAGTGTCTTCCTACTTGAAGAAGGTCGGATACAATCCTGACAAAATAAACTTTTGTCCCTATCTCTGGATTTGAGGGAGACAACGGGTTTGGTCGCACGCTCTATAGAGAAGCTTAAGAGAGCGCATTGCTTGGAAACTGCGGTGTTGGCAGACTTTTTTGTCTTCGTTCGTTTTTTTGGCTGATTTGCATTGGAGTTTTTAGAGAACTTCCACCAAAGTGTCCACTTTGTCGTTGCAGGAACTTTCTTTCTTCAGATTCGTGCGTCTTTTATTTTGGACTAGTATGAGGGTACGTGCCTTGCACAGTATGCAGTAATTCTGATATTTGTTGAATAGATTCTAAATTACAAAAGAAACACTGTTGAGATCGGATCAACACTACTGTTTGATAAATCTAACAGATTTTCGTGTACGTTCTCTTTTTTATTTTTCATTTATGTGTATAGTAGGAAATTTCTGATGCATGTCCTTTTCAGGAGTTTGGTTGATAGGTTCCACAATTTTAGCCATAGGACGTCTGATTTTGGAGTCAGTGTAGAGGGCCCACCATCACTGATTACGATTTTTCTTTGAATGAAATATATATGAGATGATTAGCCCACCATTTGGATTACTATTATTATTTCTCGAAATTTCCGTACAAAAATATATTACTACTTTAATTTGATATATATATGAGATGAAAAAAGAGATTTAAAAATATATTTAAAAAATTTTTAGAAAAAAAAAGTCGATCTAAACAAAGTGTTCGGTACTGACCCAGGAATTATATTTATGGGATGAGATGATGGGTTAATTTAATGCTGCAAGCAGCAAACCTACAAAAGTTCTTCCCCAATCTTTATTATTATTACAGTACAAAAGTTCAGATTATTTTTCTGGTGCAATAATCTTTCAAATAGTTAAATGGTGGACATTAATCCAGTGGCCTGCTTCTTTTTAGTTCATCGGTTAAGACTCTCACGACTGCTATTTGATACTGCTAATTAATTTCAAATGTAGATCAAAGATGCAACAAACTGATACGTCACTTATATTTGATGTTAGTCTCTCAACTCTTTCAATGCGAAGTTAAAACGAATAGAAAAGCTTTGACAAGAGAAGTATTTGTTAATACGTTGTTATTTACCATCTCAAGCATAATCCAATTTGCAATTCAGTACCTGTTGCTTTTGGTATGGATTGTAGGCAGATTGATCCAAATAGGTACCTGTGCAGTAACATTCGTGGTCTCAAACTTCCACAAGGCAATATCAATGGTGATACCACGTTCACGCTCAGCCTTGAGCTTGTCAAGCACCCAAGCATACTTGAATGACCTCTTGTTCATTTCAGCAGCTTCTTTCTCAAACCTCTGCATCACACGCTTGTCAATTCCTCCAAGCTTGTAGATGAAGTGACCAGTAGTGGTCGACTTTCCAGAGTCGACGTGACCAATGACCACAATGTTGATATGAACCTTTTCCTTACCCATTCTGAAGTTTTTTTAAAACTGAAAACAGGACAGTAAATACTTTAATAGTACAAACATTCCACATAAGTGGCATGCCACAGAAAGTGTTCTTAGGCCAAGCCTTTCGCCTTCATCAACTTCAGGATGTAGCCGTAGCGATCGGCTGCAGAAGCTCTAATAAAAATAATCCTTGCACCCTCGTTCTCATATTTGGCATAGTGATCACATGCTTCAAGTCTCCACTCGTCTGGAATATCCATTGAGGTGATCACATCCTGGCACTGCATTATGCCGTGGAGGGAGTCGTACTCCGACCTACTCCGTCTGTCCTCAAGAACGAAGTCGGTGTAATTCCCGATCTTGCTTAGAGCATCCTCAAGACCAGTAGATGACCGTGTCGATTTTGAACCTCTACTCCCTTCAGGTTCACCACTGGTTCCTAGGCTTGAGGCTGACCGTTTTTGTCCAACTGCACCAGGAACTGGGGGAACATAGTAGACGTCGTCGTCATCCTCAACTGCTGGTACGTTCACCGGAGTAGGCACCCTCGAGCTAGAGGCTTTACCTTTTCCCTTTCGACTTTTACTAGCAGAGTTGATCCGTTCTCGGCGAGGCGGTTCCAAATGAACGACCTCGCTTGCAGACTGGGCACGGCTGCCTGTGGCATGTCTTCCAAGCAGTAGAGGTGTCAACCGATCGTACCAGTAGCATGAATTCTCTTTTTTGAAGTCAACGTACGAGGCATTGGTCTGGTGAAATGCAAATATGAAGTCAAGACACAGGAATTGATAGTGTACAAGGAAAATATCTTAATATTCGAGTTATTTCAACAAGGAAAATGCTAATTCAATTAACTTTGTCGATAGCTAAATCCAGGATCCAAAACTTTGTCGATAGCTATTTTTTTGTATATTAAACAAAGAGTTGTGAATGACAAATCACCAGCAGCTAAGCCGAGCAAATTCCACCACATTTTGCAGTCAAATAATCCAATCAAAGCTAATCCAGTTAATGACAATGCCCAGAAAAGAATGGTCAACTAAGCGAAGGATAATCCAACTTCAAGTAAATCATATCATGGAAACAAGAACCCAGATTTATAAATTTACTCACTAATGCTGCCTTGATTTGCTACTATCACATCTTACTTCCAATATAACCCATACAGAGAGGATAAAAGAATCCAAAGCCACACTGATTACTTTGTGAAGAAACAGAAAACACAACCAAGTCTCCAAAACACATGGACAAAAAAGCTGATTCAGCAAGAAAGACTAAAAATGAGGATGAAAAGGGATGTAACTCGAGTTGTCATCCGAATTCATTGAAGCTGTATTTTTTTTTAAAGTAAAAAATTCATGCGCTTACTGAAAACTCTAAATATTCAAGTTATTTTAACAAGGAAAATATATATTATTCAGGAACCTCCCCTTATAACCCTTTATAACCCAAATCTAGCATGCTTCAGAATTGAATATTATGAGTTGTGGACCAAATTACAGGTTCTTTTCATCATTCAATCTAATAAGGATGTAATGACTGAGCGTCAATTCGTAACTCATCTCAAGACTTTGCGGAAAAAAAAAAGATGGAATAACAAGTGGAGTCAGCATATAAAACTTGATGAAGTCACCGGCAAACTCAAGGATGAAAAGACATCAAGGATTAGACACAAGTGAGAATAACAAGTGCAGTTTAAACAAGATTGAGTGCTCAGCTTTTAGTTCAATAGGGAATCTGAAGTCACCTTTCAAATCTGAAGTACAGAGAAATTCAATTAACAGAAGTCAGGGAAGCGACAAGTCCATACCTGCTCCAAGTTGGCCCAATGTTCATCATCAGCAGTGAAACAGTAGCTGTCCTCACTCCACTCAACCCCGGTCTCTGTCTTTGATGAAATCCCACGCAGATTGCAGAACAGGTCCCATTTCTTCTTGATGTAATAGAATCTGGTCTGCAATTGCTGGCCAGTCACAATCAGTATGTGATTGCTCGCCAAATGGGCTGCCAACATGTCGTAGTTGGTCTCTAGCGACTTCCTGTTGTCCCAAATGTTATTTTCCCGAAAACTGACGTAGGCTGTGAGGAAAGCTTCATCCATTGCATCAGTCCAGTGAATCCTAGAAGCCATTTGCTAAGTTTGATGGGGAAAAACAGTTAGCAATGGACTGATATAACATAAATTGAATTAAAGTGGTTTGGAAACAGATCTGGACAATCAATAGTGAAAGCAAAAACAGGTGCAGAAGGAACTCAACCAAGGCACTTGCCTCAAAGTAGACCTCAAGGCACTTGATGTAGTTGTTGGATGCAGTTGACGAACAGGTAGAGCAATGGGACGTACAGCTAACAGGTGCGGCTTCAAAATTCGAACAAAATGTATTATTAACCAATTAATATGATGCGAAAATTACTTTCTAATACAGCGTAGAAGGACATACAATCACAAGAAGGCTTCTTCCTCTTCTCAGCGGTCATAACCGAAGAGAGAACTGCCTCACAACAACCGTAATGGCAGCAGCTGGACAGTAAAATTATTAACTCATTGCAAAAAATATGCATCCAAACAGCAAATGGGAGTTTGCATCCAAACAAATTCCCAGCATGTTAGCTTTCAAATTCCAGTGTGAAACAAAAAATCCCATGCGTCTGTTAATTCTGGAAATTAGCAGTCCACTATAATACATGTTTTTAACTCCTAACATTTGAGATTATGACCTAATTGACATGTATCTAACCTCATCAAATGAGACTTACAACAGAACCAAAAGTTATGAATTCAAGCATCTATAACTGTGCAGGCTGTGGTAAGCACCGTATACGATTTCTTGGTTGAAAAGGTGCAAATCATCTGCTTTTTTTCTTTTTTCTTTTGTTCTGGGTCAGACTCAAAATGTAAAGAATCTTTTCTCTGGGCCACTCATGTAAACTTTTGTTGTCAAGTATATGTCCCATCTCAGTATTCTTCAAAACCATTTTTTCTATTCCTTCATAAAGTGTCTGAGTTATGACTTATCAAGTAGCATCCCATTAAACAACTTATACTACAATAATCCAGGGACAAGTAATAATAATCAACTTATGAGTTTATTATTCAATAATAATCAACATGATCAATGCCAAGGACAAGTAACTTGCTGCTAACTTCAAAGTATTAATCCAGGGACTCGTTGGCTCATTATCAGTAATATTTTGCATATTACTGCCTTGGGCATCCAGACGCTTAAACATTTAACTTTAAATACTTTAAAAATTTTGCAGCAAACCAGTATATTTTGATTTTATGTTTCCTATCACATCCAATCCTTGTGCGTTATGAGGCAAACCTTTTTAATTGGAAAGAAAGCAAAAGAAACCATGGAAAAAAAGAAAACTGATTGCCAAAGGCCAATGCAACTAAGCAGTGAAAATCCCTTGTATTTTTTCGGCAAAACTTTTATTAAACAACTTCTATCCATCTTTAATTTACGTCATAGAATATATTTTACTTCAATTATTTTTTTTAAGGGTGATGAATTTATTTTTTTAAGGGTCATAATATATATTTTACTTCTGTCCACCTTCAATTATTTTACTTCTTAAATTGACATATTCCAAAGCAAAATTAACTTCTAACATTGACTTATCCTCCTAATAAATTCAGGACAGATTTTATTTTCCCCATTAAATATTTTGTTTCCATGATAAGAAAAAAGCCCAAAGACGATAAATCTCCCTGCTTGCAATTTATCCAGTTAATCCAGTTTTAATGCTCATAACCTCCCAATTTGGAAAGCCAGAGCAGCTTTATTCCACCATTCATTCAGATTCGGGTTCAATTAATCCTAAGTAGATTTTAATCTAGCATAAACAAAATCTACTCTTCGCACACACCCAACACAAAATCAGGTGTCCAAGGGAGATAATCAGCTGATGAAGCCGTGGACAACTAGAAAGAGAGATCAACGCAGGTTTATGGAATGTAAATTGCAGCTAATGGTAAATCGAGGGAATTGTACCTGCCGCTGTAGATAGGGAGAAAGTGGAATGGCCTCGGAGCACCCAATTCCGCTTGGGTGTTGGAAGTGTCGACCGCGGCAGGGTGAAATGCGTCCGATAGATTCAAAACGCAGTCAATCTGGTTGTTTGCCGGACGTCGCCGCAGGCTTCGCTTGATTGCTGCTGTCTTTCCCGTCTGCTGGTAGATGAAAATGGTGAAGAGAGGCCCGAACAGAGGAGCTCGTGAAGCCTTTGTGCTGTGTTCAGGTGTAAATGCCTTTTACTGTGGCTTTACTCCTCAACCAACGGTTATTTTTATTAAAGCCCTTTGAAAAATTCAGACTCCACGTGAGCGAATGAATTGTTTGCATGACTTTAGTGCAAAAGGCTGCACCTAAGGAATCCAATGTCGGAACTCTACGCAGTAAAAAACCCCACTTTTTATTTTACACAGTACAAACGCCAATTTAAAAAAATTTCAAATAACCTCCCAATTATGCTTTCCAAACAAACCCGTCATGTTTTCTTGGTCTCACTGGTTGATTAATCAATCAAATCCTTTAATCTAACAACTCACAGCAATCAACAAATTTGACCGGACCTTTTTTTTTTTGTCACTGCACAACATCTACAATCTCAACAGAGTCCCTCTTTTTAGACCTCTGTCCAATAAGGGTCATTTTTCCCTAATCAACATATATAGAATAAGAGCGAGTGGGGGGTTTTGGTCTGAGGCTCTTTTTTTCGTCGGCCCTTCTTCGTTTTCGTCGGCCCTCGTGCTGTTCACGTGCCAGGATTGAAGGCAGTTGCAAAATTACAACTCTACTTCTCTTGTGCTTTGGAATGATATGGGCATATGGGTCCTTTTCTTGGTTCATATTTTTTTCTAGGGTTAAGACATTTATCATTCTCATAATTCTCCCGCCGCTTCATGCCTTCTTCCCTGTTTCCTCTTTCGTCTTCCCTTTCATCTTCAGATTTCTAATCTTTCATGTCTTCTTCCTTTCAACAGATTTCTAATTCCTCTTCGTTTCCAAATTGCTGTCATCTCCTCTTTCTTTCCTTCTGATTCTTTGATATTCCTTTCTCCCTTCTTATTCTTTTTCTCTTTTCATTCCTTTTTTGCCTGATTAATCACTTGATTGCTAAGAGAACTGAACTATTTGTTTTCCAAAAGTCATTTGAAGCTTCAAAATCTGTAAACGAAGCAACGCCCTCCTCTACCACCATAGTTGGCCATGTGCAAAATAGGTGACTCTATGACTCCTCCCTCTTTAATTTTTTTCTTTACTCTTATGTTTTAATGGATATATAGTATGTTATTTTCTCAGATACAGTCTCAGTATGAAAAACCCTACAGATGATGAAAGCTCCAGTGGCACACCTCGCTGTGTCCATTTTGGTGGCTGATGTTTTGATGGCGGCTATCTTACTCCAAGTCTTCAAGCTAAAGTGGTTACTCTCAGTTACTCTCTCGGCATAAGCTACTCAAAGTTCAAACTCCATCTGGGTTCTTCAATTTTCATTAAAATTCTTCTTTTTTGTCTTATTTTTTGTTTTAATTCAGTAACTGGGTTTGTTTTGTTTTGTAGGTATTGGCTTTAAGAAACTCTTTATTAACAAAATCCTGGACTATGAGGATGAATTCTTAGCTACTTGTATTTGGATTTCATTAGCTGCTATTGTTGCTGTACTCGGATCACTTGCATCGTCGGAAGCCGAAATGTCCACGTTTCCACCTGTCGGGAAGAAATTGATGCTTTTTGCTGAAAGATCTCCCTGGAAAACATGAGGATCTAGATTTTTCGAGACCACAGGAACTGGTTGGAAGGGACCGGAACTCTGCAGAGGAGTTTGGTTGAAGGAGAGATGAAGAGGAGGGGACTGTTGGCGTTGAAATGGAGGGGTAGCTTTGAGAACCCAAATGGAAAAGACGGCGAGAAAGGTTAAAGAGGAAGAGATTGTGAGAGGAAACACCAGAAATCTAGCGGGCTTCATCGAAAGACTTCTCTGTTTCTCCATTGTAGTGGTGTATGTTTACTCATCACGATTCTCTCTCTCTCATTTGGGTGGTCGTTAGGTTTTAATGTAGCAAGGACAAAGGAAGTCGTGGGTTTGGCAGAGGAAATCAAAGACAACAGGAATAGTCAATCGATTGATGAGTTGAGCATCCTGAACCTATCTATTGGAAGAGTTTCCATATTGGCGCTGTCTTCGGGTGATTCCTTGCTCGCTGCTTCTGTAGCAAACCAACTCCATTTCTTTTCCATTAGCGCTCTATTTCACAAGGTAAAAGCTATAGCATTAATTCTGTATAGTCATTATGGCATTGTTCTTATTTCGGTCTTAATGCTTTTGATGTAGCATACTACCACATTGCACACTTCGTGCGTGATATTATCTATGAAAGTATATTTATTTGTTACTTGCGAACCGTGTGTGGCTCTTATCATGTACCTAGGCATAGTCTTAGACCTACGTCCTGATTTTTCACATGAAGATGAACTTCAAAGTTTTTGCTTCTAATAGAATTCTTACCCAGGGGAACTTGAAGGAAGATGGAAATTGGGGTAATTCCAATGGCGTAGGGGTGATCGGATCTTTGCTTACGAGAGCAATAAGTGAAGTAGGTAAAATTGTAGAACCTCGTTCCTAGCGGGTTCACAATTCTCGTTTAAGTGGAATTTAGGTTTACCGAGAATTTAGGCTCACTTTCAGCGGAATTCATTTTACCAAGTGACGTCACTTTAAGAGTGAATTGCTTTTGAAACATGGCAAAAGGGGTTGTCACAATCCCCGTTTTTCCTTTCCAATCTAAAATATCTTTTGAATTTTTTTTATAATAGATTTTTAAGGACCTTTTGCCATGGTGTGACCCAGCTTGCTCATATTCCACACATTTCCACTTCTACCCTTGTTGCTTCGTCTCTTTATTCCTTATGTCAGATAGTTGCACAGAACAAGCTTAAATTAGCTGAGTACTTGCCATAGCTAAAATTTCGAGAAGCTTAATACCTCTGCTCGAGTTCCTGCTTCTTTTACTATTTGTCGGCTGCATCATATGGCCTGTGAGTTCTTCAAGCTATTAAATCACTTGCTGTTTTACCATATGAAACTTCATTTTTCCCCTCTGATTAACAGCATGAGTTTTGAGGTGTTTCAACTCTCCCTTACTCTATCACACACGCACTTTAACAGGAACAAAAACCAGCTTTTTCAATTTGCCTCGATGACTTCAGTTGCATCAAGGACATGAAATGGGCTAGAAAAGTGGAAAGAATTATGTTGTTCTATCAAGTGATGGAAAGTTACACCAGGGAATTGGTCAAGGTTCTCCTATGAATGTGATGGACAATGTTGATGCTGGTATGATTATGTTCTTCAGAGTATCCTTTCATCTTCTATTCCACTTATAATTGCTTGATCTCACAAAGATTCAGTATGTCTGCTAATTTGCAGAAGAAACTATGCTGTTTTCTTGGTCCTTGGCATTTTTTTTTTATTCCTATGAATATATTGAATATTATGTTTTCTGCTAAACCTATCTTAATTCTGGAGTTGGAGTAGTCCCTCTATTTATTGCTTTTACAATTTATATAAAGGCTTTGTTTTCTGACATAGTGGAATGGAGCCCAACCGTTAATGGGGAAAGAAGGACATTGCAGTGTCAACTTGAGAACAACTGATGCTTCTTTTGCCGAGTCTCTTTATGGGTTGAGAAGAAGAGCGGTTAATATTAAAGTAAAAACAAAGGATAATCTTGACAGCGAGAAGAAGATTTTGCCATTGGATTCCCCTGCTAATGCAATTCATCATAATGGTCTAGAGAAACGCCAGAAAGTCCTCTCTATTGTATTTTTGGTAATTGTTTCGTTTTCTTTTGGTACTCCTTAAATTTAGTTACTTTATTTTTAGCAGAATGGAGCAGAATTTTGTCTACTCGACAATTCATAAATTTTGAAATAAGTTCTTTTTTTTATCGGTTGTTCTCATTACTTTTGATTGGTCATTTTTTAATGCTGGATATGTTTCTGTTGTCAAAAGTCCTTCATTTTTTACTCTCAAGCAAGCTTCTGGCTTTTCTGTTTTTAGTAGAGCATGTTTACTGTGTTCTGAGTTGGACAAATATTGTGTAGGTTGTGTTGTCGTATTTTTGGTCCAAATTGTATCATCTATGCAATAGAGAAAGGGAAGCTGCACTTCAAGTGAGCTTATGGGGTGAGAGTGAGGAAAGATTGACAACATAGACTAATTTGATGGATGTGAAAATTTCTCAACTTCTAGGAATAGTTCTGGTGAAAAGCATCTACTACTAGAAGACGCGTCATGAATTTAATAGTTTTCTACTGAAAATGGCACCAAAAGGCATGCTTGGTAAGGAGTGGGAACTTTTTTCTTTTGGATGGAGTTGTAATTATTCTTTGGACTGTTTTCCATAAACTATGACAATGATATGAATTTAGTTTCCTCTAATTGACATGTTTTTTCTTTGCAGGATTGTCTTTTGCTTATCAGCTTTTGTATCTACTAGATGCTACTGGGTTCTTCTCTTTAGGATTACACATTCTTGGGATTCATGTTTGTTGAGCTACAAGGCAAAAGCTGGTACTTATTCTAGGCATGTGTTATGTGGACTAATCTATTAGATCTACTATCATCCATGTGCTCTAAAGAAGATACGTAAACCAACAGTTCATTGAGTTATCAGATTGCATAAATGCTTGTAATATTTGCCTCAGAGAAAGTTTTGCTTGTACGGTATCAACGCTTGCCATTAAGAATTATCAAAATGCAACTATCATGATGAGTGTGATATGAACTTGAGCTGTGGCTTGCTCAGCTAGATATTCTTTGCAGAACTGCCTCCAATTTTATAGTCTGATTAGGAAGTGAAATGCATTGTGATGTATGAATCTCATTGGTCAGGACAAAGTGCTGAGTTGTTAAGAAAACAACTTTTATCATATCAATTCTTGACAATAACAAGTTTCAAAATCAGCAAGACTAACAGCTTTTAAATGAAATGTTTTGACAACACTGATTAGAAGAAAAAGAAGCAAAACATGTCTGCTTCCCTTAGTTTGATACCTTATGCTGTCTAAATATGTACATGGTTCTTCTGTTTGGTGAACCTATTAATGTAGAAATCATCA